GGGATACATTGGTTGATAGTATTGAAAGCTGCTGAAAGGTCAAGGAGGATGACCAGGGACATGTTGCCCCTGTCTGTCTCCCAACAGAGTTCAGCATAGAAGGTGACCAGGGCAGTTTCTGTGCCAAAGCCAGGCCAAAACCCTGATTGAAATGGATCTAGAAAATCCAAGAGCACCTGGATCTGGTCAGTGACCACCTGCTGAAGAACCTTGCCCAGAGGAGGGAGGTTGGCAGCTGACTGGTAATTAGGTTCTTAGAATCTAGGGATAGTTTCTTAAGAAGTGGTCTTGTCTTCTTCAAACAAGCAGGAACCACCCCCTCTTGGCATTGACCACCTCCATGGCTTAGGCAGCTGTCTCCTCTTCCAAGAGGGGCAAAGGTCCAATCCAAGCACCTTGTCCACACCTTCCAGCCTCATCTATTGAAATTCGCCCAACAAAACAGGATTAGATTCTGCATTACCCTGCAGTTTGTCCATTTGAATACAGAGGTACAGGGTTCGTCAATGAGGGCGGAGGTGTATCTACACCTGCACCATGTCATTGTGGGTGGCTATATGCCAGTATCGCAATCGCCACTTCCTTCCTGGGGCATAAACAGGAAGGAAAAGGCATGAATAAGGGGAAGGTTTTCAAACCTGCAATAAGTAACCACTCACTCTTGTGGAGGGTGGGATCTAGAATCATTCTAGACTGAAAGCAGCTGTTGATGATGAGTATAAATGATTCTGGATTGAGAAAAAACTATGTTTTTGTACTACAAACTGGTCAGTGTGAATGCAGTCCATATCTGAGAAAGAACAAAGCCGTGGGTAGGGGCAAAAAAATGATCACAAAAAAATGTAAACCACCCATTTCCTAGTACTGCAGTTATCACTGTCACCATCCCACCAAGACTTTGATGTGCCAATATAACATTTTTCTAAGTAAAACAAATTTCCAGTCATAGCCATGCTCCCAATCGTTTGAAAGAGGAAGAGGCTGAGACATCTTGCTGGTGCCAAGATATTGAGGGGAGTGGGTGTCAGGGCTTTTTTCAGCCAGAACTTGCCCTCTCAGGTGGCAGCCATTGCCATTATAAGAGAACAAGGGGTCGTTCAAGCACCTCTTTTTCTTGCAAAATAGCACTGGTGGATGTAGTTGAGATTTGGTGTCCTTGCTCAGTGGCTTCTATTGGGAAAGGTTCAAGCTACATGTGACACTCAAATTCCATGAACCATTTCCCTGATATATTTTTAAAAGCCCGCTCACCCCTCCTGGTGCGGTGGCGTTGCAGGACGGCAGAGGCTTCACTGGGGGCCTCGACGAGGGATCTTGAATTGCAGTGCCCTTCCTGATAGGCGGTGGGGGCATAAGCCCCTGTCCCCTATCAGGAACTGGACCCTGCTTTGGCAAATGGGGATGCAGGCTGGGCCTTGGGCCGTGCCAGGGGGTGGAGCCAATGGAGCAGGTAGGCTTCCCTCAGATCTGCCCCTTGCCCCATTTAAGCAGCCTACACCTGGGGCACTACCTGTTCGTTGAAAGTGATCTGGTCTGCAAATTTATAGAGGGGAGGAGCTGTTCAATGGTGGTCCAGGATATTTTGCCGTCAGATTTCCCCCCTTCTAGGTCAACACTGTAAAAAGGCTTGCTGTGTTTTTGTAGACCAATCCCTGCCTTCTGTTATCCTCTCCACCAGCGGCGGCTAGTGCTCAATGGAACTGGTGGAGAAGTCGCCAGGGAGGGAGAACTTTAAAGTGTTAAGATCAGAAAGCGGAAAACATGAAAACAACGAGAAGAGGCAGGAACAAAGATTTGGAGATATGCTTCAGAGGTCCAGACTAAAGGGAGCCGGGGAAAATTAATAATTACAATTTGGATTATAATTTGGTTGTTTTTTTATTTTAGTTTATTATTTTTAATTGGATTATGATTTGGATATCTGAATTGGCTGTTTTTATGGAAAAATCAATAAAAATGATTTTTAAAAAAGAGGAACTAGTGGAGAAGACAGGTAGGCAATTGGTCGATGGAGCCAGATGCAATGGTGAACAAATCCAACTCATTTCTCATCCCCCCCCGTCCTCCTGGCTAAGTTGTACACAGGAAAGACTGGGATTAAAGAGGAAGAGCCTAGCAGGTGTGCCACACCTGCACTGGTTGTATGAAAGACAGGTGAGGGCTGAGTGAAGGTAGACTGATTTTGTTGGAGCAGTGCCCTACTAGCCCTAGTAGGTGACCTCTCCACTGCCCTCCTTATGAGACCTACTTAAAAAGATTGCATGTAAGAAGTAACCCCGTTACAGCTGGCCAAGCTTACAGGCTAATAAAGACCTATATCAACATCAATATAGATCTCCCTACCTGCTCGCTCTATATCTCAAATACTACCATTCACTAATGAAGCTCCAGGATGATTTACATCAACAAAGAATGTAAAAACGGTGCAATAAAATATAAGCTGGATATGATAAAAAGCAATTCAAAAACTGTAAGAATGGTAGAAGAGGGCAGGACTTGATTTCCATGCACACAGTGGTGTAGCATGGGGGGCAGAGTGCAAAATTCTGAGAGAGGGGCAACCAGGCACCCCGACAACAGGCTCACCCGTCAAGGCTGCATGGCTGAGCTCCTGCCACCCCCCGGAGCTGCGGGGAGGCAAGCCATGCCCAGGCCAGGCCTTCGGGGTTGGAGTCGCGCATCCTTCTCCTCGTGGCCAGTGAAGGGATGCCTGTGTGCTCCATCCCTGGGCTGGCTGAGCAGGGAGACAGCAGAGCCGCCAAGCCTGGAAGCCACATGTTCATCGCTACCAGCAGCGATGGCAGCAGCAGCCATGTGAGCAATGTGTCTCACGGGTTTGGTGCACATCCCCCAGCACATGCTTTCACCCCAACTGCCCAGTCCAACACTTGCCCTGTCCCGGGCACCAGCAACCCATGCTACACTACTGCATCCACACCCAACTGCTAGAGATCAAGTAATCTGTAAATTCAGCAATTCTTAATTCTTAAATATAGGAGCAGCATGAATTAAAAGCAGGCTGGGGCATCCAGTTCTTTGAAGCCCCCTTCAGAAATAATAGGGGAGGGAGCACACCTCCCGTAGGTGGTCCCCTGCTCGTGCTTTCGCTTGGTGGCAGTGGCAGAAATGAGTACATTTCCCACACTGCCCAGCCTGCCATGGAAGGCTTAGAGGACATCTTACCTAACGAAGTGCTTGCCTAGCAGCTTGTTTCTCTTAAACAAGAACTGAAGAGTAACGAGAAATTTCTGACTCCCAGCTAGATATCAATAACTCCATTGCCACCTAGTGACTAAATCATATAATGACACTGTCCGAACAATTCGGGAAGTTAAGAGGGCGCTTGCTGACATAGACATGAGCTAACACTCGGTGTGCCCAAACTCCCTCCAACACTGTGCAAAGGTGTAGAATTAATCTGTTTTCAGTCAATTCCCCTCTAAGTCAAGTGATTTCTTCCTTGATATAGATGTCCTTTTCCTTCCATAAAATGGGAAATGCTTCCAACTGCACTGTCACTGACTAGCGATAAGTGATTGGTTATATGGGAAACTTCAGTTTTTGACATTGTAGTTTTGCTTTTTTACCTTATAACATCATCTGTTGTTTGCTTATTGGACCTGTTTATATGAATTTGTAGTATTTGTATCTTGTTGTTCTTCTCTTTACTTTTATTACTTTGTGCCCAGAATTGGGATTGAAAATATTAAACGAGGGTCTTCAGAGCAGAAACATAAATGCTCCTCAGAGCTCCATATGTATTAAATAGTTCATGGCACAGTGAATTATCTGGGTGAATTCTAGCAGATCACAGAACAGCCTATTTATCCTAGTCCTGCCTGCTTCTCCTGACTGCTCTTTGGGACATTGGTCATATTTTAGATTTTTTTTTTATTCTAAGCCATGTGAATAACACGCTACCCCAGGATGGATTGTAGTTTGTGAACCCTAAAAGCACATAGCAAGTGATGGCTCTCCAGATGTTACAACCTAGATAGGTAGAACTAAAGTTACATCTGATGCAGCCTTCTGTTTTGAACAATGTTCAGTCTGGTGTTTCTTGAAAGGTGGCATATATGTCAGTGTGGTGTAGTGGTTAAGAGTGGTAGTCTCGTAATCTGGGGAACCGGGTTCGCGTCCCCGCTCCTCCACATGCAGCTGCTGGGTGACCTTGGGCCAGTCACACTTCTTTGAAGTCTCTCAGCCCCACTCACCTCACAGAGTGTTTGTTGTGGGGGAGGAAGGGAAAGGAGAATGTTAGCCGCTTTGAGACTCCTTAAAGGGAGTGAAAGGCGCGATATCAAATCCAAACTCTTCTTCTTCTTCTCTTCTTCAAAAACAACAGCTCTCCTCTGCCACTCACACTCAGCATCTTGAATTGTATTTGGAACTATAGTGCCTTTGGACTCGAACATTTCATTGAGCCATTTTGACTGATAGAAACATTTTCCACGAATATGCCCAATCTATTTTTTTAAAACATCTAATCGAGTGATCCTCACCATTTCCTCCAGCGGTGAATTCGTACCCACTGTCCTGCTGTGTCATTTTCAATTTCTTACACATTTTTTTCAAAGCCCATATAGGGTGTTGTGGGGAATAAGAAAGGAACCCTCTGCATTTCCTGCCTCTAGGGACACACATTCTTTCAATGGAGTCTCTTGGGGGAAAACTTGGTTTTAAGGGACACTTTCGAGGGGATATTTGGAGTGCTCTGGGACACGCTGACAATACACCAGTGCTGACAGGGTGTGTCACATTGTGCCTGCACTTTGCACTAGATGAAGTATACATAATTAAGCAAATTCATATAGGGAGTATATGTGGCAATCCAAGATAATTACCTTTGATCATTAGAAATGTCCAGTTTTTGCATCGTACTGGTTTCATTATGTAAATTTGAATTAATCTAATTTTTTGCAGATTCAGAAAATACAAAGTAGTTTAATGGTTGTGGGGGTGTGAGATGATCAGTATAAATACCAGCGTCTCACAGGAGGAGAGCATCACACTCACCTGCCAGACTCCTATCATCACAGCTGAAGCCAAGGTAAGCAGCTCTCCTTTTAAGCATCCATGCAGCCTTGTGTTGGGTGATGTGCATCTTTACAGCAGTTCTTTTATCATGGGTAGTTCTTCAAAATTGTGGGTTTGGTGATAGAATGTATTGCAGTGCAGAAGTAGAAACAAGTATATCTGTATTCTGAAGGATCCTGAAATGATGAGCTGTTTTGGTTTTCCCTCAGAACTTTTGAATTCCATCATGACCACCCTGCGTAGAGCCAATGCTAGATTCGCCGTTAACCTTTTCAAAAATCAGATCATTGAGGACCCACACGACAACCTCGTGGTCTCCCCTGTGAACCTCACCGCAGGCCTGGGCCTACTCGCTTATGCATCTGGCTGGGAACAAGCAGCTCAGATCGAGAAGGTGGGTCTAATCAAGCAGTAGAGATGCAGCCTTCAAACTGGGCTCATCGTTAGCAGATACCTTTCCATCACTGGTCATATTTGATACAAGTTGAGAAAAAGAATGACCTCACTGTGGCTTGATCCAGTAATAAGCCCAGTCAACGTCTCTGCACAAAATCCCATAAATGTGCAGAGATCAAAGAATATTGCATCACTAGGCATGGAGTAGAAATTTGGTTGAATGGAATGGAAATCTTCCAAATGGAATCTTCCAAATTTGTAGTTTTCAAAACAACGTATGAGCCAAAAACAACTCTTTTTTAATAGATTTGTACTTACCTGTACTTGTTTTGTAAAAATAATATTTTCAAAAATTCATATATTAGGGGGAAATGTGCATAAAAATGAAAATATTAGCAAAAGTAGCATAACACATGCATTATATTGGGGAAATTGCTTGCAAAAATGTGTACATTGGTTAACGAAAATGCATCTAAAAATGGGTTTATTTGGAGAATTTCACACTAAAATGCTTGTGAATTTTCATGTGGATCTTTTTTAAAAAAATAAAATGAAAATGAAATAGCAACTATTCCAAAACGTGGAGAACTAAATTTAAGATTTAATTCCTTCAGTTCTCATCCTATATGTGATTTCTTGCTATCAGCTCAAGGCAGAACCGTAGATTGCCTGAAGTTTGTATGTATGTTTGGATCATTAATTTAGCATGATTCAGATATCCTATGCCAAATATGTTGAATAATTTCAAAGATTAATATGCAGGAAGATATCCATCCTGCCAATGTCACATATGATCTAAGAGTCATGTGAATCATCCCTATTATACATATCAAGATAATAAGTGCTGCTGTTATAATATTGCCTGTGCAACTGAAGCAATGTTCCAATTTCATTCAAGGTCCTGCATTGGGATGAAGTGAAAGAGGGTGACAAGCCCAGAAGCAGGAGCCTGGGACAGTCAACAACCAGACTAAGAAGGGTATGTAGAAGAACGCTTGGATAAAGGTGTATTCCTCCCCTGCCCATAGAACCCAGCTTGCATATTAGTATTATCTCCTGTTATCTCAACATCAACTCCATGCCTGTTGGGCAAAAACATCTCTAAAGGAAGAAAAGGGGCCTTGAGCACTGAATCAGCTCTTAAAAGTGCAAATGTCATTTTCGTAAATATATTTGCAACAAAATATTTGGATGTGAAGTTGACATCGCTCCTTGAGATGAAGGAGGATTAGAGCATCAATATATGTGTCTGATATCAGTGCAACATCAGAACAAGGATTGGCTGATGTTTGAAAACTAATTTGGTTTCATGCCAACATTTCTTATTCCGTTATTGTAAATGGGCTGGAAATGAACTACCTATGGATGCAGACATTTTATAACTTCATTGCAGACCCAAGGTGCTGGTGGTGCCAAACCGAGACCCCGTCCTGAACCCAAACCTTGTGACAAGAGACGAGTCATTCACCGCCCAGCTCCTTGCCCTGAGCCCGAGCCCGAGCCACGTTGTCCTAGACGCGTAAGTTGTGAAACATGTGGAGAGTTTCATCAAAATAATAATAATAATCACAAACACACAAATAGACATTTAGGGGGTTATCTCTAAGTATTCTAAATGATACCACACAACTTGTGATAAAATCCACAGGAAAGTAAGAATGAAACCGCTAAATTCTTGCTTAGATGTGAAGTTCACTGGGTGATGTTGAGTCAGTCACCATCAACCCCCATCTAACATTGCCGTGAGTATAACATTGAGTAAATCACAAGAAAGATGTGCTGGGCTGCCTGGAGGGATTCAGATGTGATAAACGTTTGCTTCAAAGTAGGCATTCCTGAGTTCGCCTTTCAAGCAAGCTTTGTTGCTTAAGATAAGTCTGTAAGTTTTCTTTCTCACAAGATATACCCTTAAGAAGATAAGTAGCCAGGTGATGTGAGAATTAACCTCCTTTTTAAAAAATCCTTAGGATGTTCCCTGCTATGAGTGTGAGAAGCCTGAAGGAATCCATACGGCATTCAGCAAAATCCTTGCGACTCTTAATGAGCCCAGCGCCAACTATACCCTGAGCTTTGCCAACAAGCTCTATGGAAACAAGGACATTGCCTTCATCCAGGTAACTCTAATTTTGGCCCCTATGGGTGCTCCACTGTACTGTGAGAACCAAGTGCAAATTGCAACCTGCAATTGACTGTATTCTACCATAAATGGGTTCATCATCTACTGGTGTCTGTCAAACTTGTGCCTCATTCCCAGGCAACCAGAGAGATCTACTATGGTAATGATTATCTGCTCAATGAAAGTCTCCACGTGCAAAATTTAGTGTTCTGAAACTACAAAGAGGCACTGAATGTTTAAGGGCATTAGGCAGTACTCAAATGCGAGAGAATACTCTGGACATTTTCTGTTTTGTTATATATTTACTGATACATGGATCCAATGTCTTCTTGTTCTGTTCAGAAATTCGTTTTCTGTGCTCTGAAACTGTACTTGACTGAAGTGGATGGTGTTGATTTCCATAATGCCCCCGAGGAAGTGAGGAGACTCATCAACCTTTGGGTTGAAACCCGTACACATGGTAAGACCACAGAATGCACTGATGACCTCTTCCTGACATAACTTTCATGATAGGGAGGTCTCCGGTCTTCGTTCTTCTGATGGTGGTTCAAAAAACCAGTTAAATCTTTCTTATTCTCCAAGAATAAGCTAAGAGCCCACTGTGACCTCTGCTTTCCTTCAAACATGAGGAAAGGTAGAATTGATTTGTTGCAATAAATTGGTGCCCATACTATTCTTTTTGCTTATAAAAACAGTTAAATGCCCCCTTCTGTTGCAAAGGACGACTTAGAGTATAATTAAGTATTTTATTCAAGCTTTCCCATTTATTCTCCATCAATCATGAGCTACAAATAGTATGTTCAACTTTTATCTGGAGGAATGCAGTAGACTAGTTAAAACCCACCCCCATTCCCAAAAAAACCATTGTAACAATTTCTTTGCCAGGTAAAATCAAGGACCTTCTCCCCAAGGACAGCTTTGACTGCCTTGCTCAGCTCCTGCTGGTGAATGCTCTCTACTTCAAAGGACAATGGGAAGTGAAATTTGACAAAGAGCTCACAGAAGAAGCTCCCTTTTACCCTCATCATGCAGATGAGGTGAGTTAGAAACATATTCCTAGCTTCCTTGCTTCTTTTGTGCAGAGGGACAATGTACCTTGTAACTTCCAGAATACACGTTTAGTGTTGGAGTTGAGTTGCCCCAATGAGGTCTTGATGGAGGTCACTTGATTTCAATTTAGTAGGATTGTTGCTGAAATTACAAAAGAGAAGAATCTGCTGTCTCCCTTTTCTTTTTCTCTGGGAGGTGTTTTTTGTTTTGTTTTTTTCATTTTGCAATGCCGAATCTCATGATCTCAAAGAAAGAAAGAAAGAAAGAAAGAAAGAAAGAAAGAAAGAACTTCCCAAAGAAAACCAAGTTCCTTCTCTCTTTTTAAATATTTCCTTTTTTCCTTTTCTTCACAGAAGGAATGCCACAGTGTACAGCTGATGCACAGGAAGGGTGTCTACAATGCAGGGACAATTGACCTATGCAACGTTCAAGTCCAAGTTGTTGAGATCCCCTACAAGAACAATGAACTGACCTTCGTTCTACTGCTGCCAGTAGACTGCAATGCAGAAGCTCTTGAACAGGTAAATGGTCTTTCCATTCCTATGATACTGTCCATGGCCTTATTCACCTTATCCATCTCTGGCCCTCGATTTCAATAATACTGGTGTGGAAAAAGTCTGTTGATACATTTTTCTTATTGTATTCACCCTTGTTTTGATTCAATCTGGGATTGGAATGATATCACTATAACTTCTATGTGTTCCTCTAGCTGGAAGATGGACTTAGCCACGAGCATCTGCTTGACCTGTCCTGTCATCTGAAGGCCATTGAGGTGGATTTGGCCATTCCCAAGTTCAGCTCAGAGAAGAGCATTGAAGCCAACGAATACCTGAATCTGCCGGATCTGACTGACCACGAAAAGGCCGATTTCTCTGGAGCAACCACAACAGAAGGCGTGGCTCTGACTCAGCTGGTCCATGATGCTGCTATCGAGATTGATGAGGAGGGTGGTGAAGAACCAGAGCCAGTCCCTTGCCCCAAGGATAGGCGTCCACGTCGGGAACCTGTGGAGATTCGGGCTGACCATCCTTTCCTCTATTACATCGTGCACAATTGCACCCAGAGTATCATTGCTCTCGGTAGATTTGCTAAGCCAGAATAAAGGAAGAGTGCATGCAACAAGATCAATGGAAAATGGATACGGAAAATCTTTTATAGAAGAATATTGTTTCCCCCTCTCCTCTTTACTCAGCAAGGCCAAGCTTTGCATAGCTTTGGGCAAAGAGAACTTTCATTGGGTGGCGGGCCTAATTTTCATGGTATGACAACAATGTTTTATTGCTCTACCTGCCTTCTCCTGTCATTTTACATCTTTTCAATAAGATGTTTGATAAATGACAATATTGCGATGGAAGAAGCTGCACTTCCTTGGGCCACAACTAATTTTTTCTAAATGGAACACTGGGGTGGAGTCAGGAAAATGTCGCTATTCTGGAATCTGCTTCTTGATGAAAGTCGTCTTGTTCTTTCCTGATGCAAATCTGCCTAACTAACTGAAGCAAAACTAACTAACTGAAGCAAAATTCAAAACAAAAAAATTCCTTCCAGTAGCACCTTAAAGACCAACTAAGTCAGTTCTTGGTATGAGCTTTCGTGTGCATGCACACTTCTTCAGATACACACATGCACACGAAAGCTCATACCAAGAACTGACTTAGTTGGTCTTTAAGGTGCTACTGGAAGGAATATTTTTTGTTTTGACTATGGCAGACCAACACGGCTACCTATCTGTAACTGAAGCAAAATTGAATGCCTTCTACTGAATTATCTTGCCTGAAGTCAGCAGCATGAGGCTGCCATCCTAGATCTACTTACTTGGAAGTAAGCCCTGCTGAATTCAGTGGGACTTCTGAGTTGACATGTATTGGACCACACTATGAAACAGGAAACTGCAGTCTGGCTCTTTGAAATGAAAATCTTTCCACGTTGCTTGTGAGATTATAGCTTTTCTTTGAAACTTATGAAACCTTCTTGCATCTTTTGTACTGAAGCTGCACAATATCTGAATAAACAAAGCATTTAATAAAACTTGTTTTGCAGTTTTCACTTCTGTGAGATATATTGTAGAGTACGAGTTCCCAAGGATTGCGATGACAAATCTTCCCCAGGCACTCAGACAACAATTTTTATGACTAAAGTCAACCCATAAGATAAGGATCCCCTCCTTCGCATTTAAAAAAAATTGAAGAATTGTTGTGCACAACATCACAAGATGAGTGGTATTTGGGGGTGGCGGCACAGAAATCAGTAACTTTTCCCTAAACATAGAATAAGGTAGAGATTGAGTCTGAAACCCAAATGCCAAACTGCGTATTTGACCAAACATAATGCAACAAAATATTCATTTCCTGGGAGGAAAACTTCCCACAGAAATGCAGACAGGCAGCTCCAATTGCCCCAGACTTTTCCTTTCCTTTCCTCATTGGATCAGGGGCAGGGAACTTTTCTGGACCAAATGCAGACCCCCATGCCTCTGAATCGAAACCACCAGACTCTCCCCAGCTCAGCTCTTAATGCTACATGTTATCCCTATCGCCACAGCAGTGCGAGATCCCAGGGGTTCAGGCGCTTACCCAGGGATTGCGTTTGCCTCAGAAATGAGGCACAGAGGAGACTGTAGTGTCAATATGGTTTTATTTACACATATATACAACCTTGGTTTACTGTGGAGGGAATTCCAGCATTACACTCTGCTGGTTCTGAAGCTTCAACAGGCAGCTTGGCAGCGACTTTGAAAGGCCCCAGCAGCCAAGAGATTGGTATGTGTGTTGTGCTCTATGTATTCCAGCAGCTCATGCATGTATTCTTGTGCTCTCTGCACTGTCTGGTGGCTCTGGGCCAGGAGGGTGCTGGAGAGCTCCTGGAAGGATCTAACAATGGAGAAGGTCCTTTGCTCCTTTCATAGGTGCAGCAGGCTTTGGTCTAAAGGCAGAGATATCCACTGTGCCATCTTTGTTCCAGCCTGTCACCCTCAACTCACAGAGTCTTCTGCCCCCCCCCTTCTCCCTCTTGCAGCTAACAGGCTCCACGGATCTCTCCCCTGTAGTGAAAACACAGCTAAGAAGCTCAAATCATACATGTGACTGACACCCTTCTTTGGAAATTAACCAATATCCAGACTTTAACGTTCAAAAAATTTACTTGCAGAAACTTATAGATGAATGGAAACATAATATTTAGAGTCACATGCTTATCCAAGCATGGGCTTACAGTCTTTTATTCCAAACAACTGTATTTTTCCTCTCTTTTCAGAGCTCAGCCCTTTTAGCCTTCTGTATCTCAGTTAGGCCATGCGTTGCAGCTCCTATGAGAGAGGTCCACTTTTATCTTCTCCTGCAGCATTGCTCTCTTTCTTTCAAGCAGAGAAGACGCACTCCAACACTCGATTCAACTTAGCAGTGTTCACAGTGGATTCTAAAATGGAGTCTCTCCTTCACTGGATACCCCCCATGTGACCAGCGTTAGCCAATCACGTGCGAACTACCAGAAAGCTCTCTAGAATTCATATACCAATCATTCAAATTTAAACACATAATAATGCATACAAGCGTTTACAATTTCAGTGAATTAAATTCCTATATTCAACACCCCCAGCCTACGCCATCCAAACCTGAAGCTCTGGACCTGGCGTTTGCCTCTGTTCACCATTCCCTGATGGGAAAAGGGGCTCACACTCCTCTGCTGTCCAGCCCAGAGTAACCGCTTCGTTAATTACTTATTGCTTTCTTTTATACTACATGATGGCTCTTCTCTCCGGGTGATTCCTGAGCAGGAAACTGATATACTGCCTGCATTTTAACACTGCCAAATCTAACATTTGTCACCCAGGTTAATAATCCAACCATTTTTTCTTCTTCTAACATTTACTAACCCTATAAATTAGTGGTGCCTTGCACCCATAAACCCTGGCACCCAAAATCTGTAGCATTACCCTCCTCTAAGAAAAGCACATCTGCACCAGATGTGTAAAATTACAGAAAAGTTAGTAAAGGCATTTAGAGTAGTTGTAATAATAATAATAATAATAATAATAATAATAATAAAGCAAATCATAACACCATAACATTGTAGCAGCCCATTCCTTTCCTATAGTTCCCTGTATCGAGATGCCCCACAGGCTTTCTTATTTCTTTTGCTTTCCTGCAGCAGAGGAGAACGTCTAAAAACACACCCCGCCAACAGAACAATTCCTAAAAATCATTTCTCAGTTCAGTTTCTAAAAATTATCAATGGGTTCCCATCACTAGAAACATGTAACCCCCCCCCCCCAGTCCACAGGGTTTAAAAGAAACCTATTGCTAAGATTTGCTGGAAGGATGATTGTAGTAAACCAGGGGTCAGCAATGTTTTTCAGCAGTGGGCCGGTCCACCATCCCTCAGACCATGTGGTGGGCCGGACTATATTTTGGAGGGGGGGGGGAATGAATGAATTCCTATGCCCCACAAATAACCCAGAGATGCATTTTAAATAAAAGCACACATTCTACTCATATAAAAACACGCTGATTCCCGGACCGCCCACGGACCGGATTGAGAAGGCGATTGGGCCGCATCCGGCCCATGGGCCTTAGGTTGTGTACCCCTGTAGTAAACAGTCTCAGAAAGCAGAACACAAACCCCTGCCCACCCCCCCACCCCCACTGAGCAGCTTCCTTCATGGTGCTTTGTCTTGGGATTTACACATACAGTGGTACCTCAGGTTAAGTACTTAATTCATTCCGGAGGTCCGTACTTAACCTGAAATTGTTCTTAACCTGAAGTATCACTTTAGCTAATGGGGCCTCCTGCTGCCACCGCACTGCCGGAGCACAATTTCTGTTCTCATCCTGAAGCAAAGGTACTATTTCTGGGTTAGCGGAGTCTGTAACCTGAAGCGTATGTAACCAAGGTACCACTGTAGTTCTCTGTTCAAGTAGCTGTTCAAGAGGCAAACTCCCTGGTGAGTTCAACCTCACCCAATTCTGCAGGGACACATGCCTTGCTCTGATCCTGGGTGTTTCCCACACTAAGAAAGGCACCACCATTTTCTCAAGCACACAGGGGAACACTCTCAGCACAATTTCTTTTTCCATCGCAGATTCATCAGGAGCCTGATGTTAGTATTTTCATTCTCCATTGCTGTTGGATCTCGTGATCCACTGTTTACAGTCCTTTGTGATAGTGTAGCACCCTGCTTGTGGTTAACGCTTAGCTGGAATGAAATATTCAACGCAGCAATAGAGAAATTAAAATAATAATTTATTTGTCAGACAAATAAATGATAGGCACAGTGGTATATGGTTACCAAAGCTCTGCCCCCTCCAGCCCTGATGGCCAGCACTTATATTTCCTCAGCCCAGCCCCCTTGCTCCTCCTTTGGCTGCCTCTGTCCAATCAGCCTGGTTGAAATTCCTATTGGCTGTTTGCTAGAACCAATCATAAAAGATACACCCATTTCCTATTACCTTTTATGGGAGACAAAGAGCTATATTTCCTTCTATCCATAAATGGCAGACAAGTAGCCATATATCTTACATTTGCCTGACAAGGCACCTTAATTACCAGATCACCTTTGCCCTATTGCCCTATTGCCCTATTCACTCCAAAACAGATGGCTCATGGTAACAGAGATCTTGAGTGCACATTCTCACACACCATCAATGAAATAAGAATCTAACATAAAAATCTAACATTTCTTACTTTCTAAATCCTTTGCATAATTACATTAAGCCAATATATTTCATACATTAACATATATAGCTTTTTAGAAGAAAAGGAACTTAGTAAAAACAGTTTCAAAAAAAAGCCTCTTCCATTTACACCCTCTTTCCCAGCCAGCTGCTGTTCCTATTAGCTCTTGCCCTTTAACCGTATGAAAATATGGCTCGAGTCTAATGGGAGGCACCTGGTATTATTTCTGTTAAACAATAAATCTTACTATTTACCAACTCTTAATTAGTGTTTTTGCAGCTTGATTGTATTTTGTAATATGTAATAATAATAATAATAATAATAATAAATTTTATTTATATCCCGCCCTCCCCAGCCGAAGCCGGGCTCAGGGCGGCTAACAACACTAAAACAGTACAACATTATAAATACATTCTAAAAATTAATTAAAATACAAATTGATGGCAACCATAGACTAAAGCTTTGTAGAGATTGCCAAAGGAGGGAGTCAGGCTGCGCCCTGACCAAAGGCTAGGTGGAACAGCTCTGTCTTACAGGCCCTGCGAAAAGATGTCAAGTCCTGCAGGGCCCTTGTCTCTTGCGACAGGGCATTCCACCAGGTTGGAGCTGCAGCCGAAAAAGCTCTGGCTCCAGTTGAGGCCAGCCTAACCTCTCTGTGGCCTGGGACCTTCAAGATGTTTTTATTTGAAGACCGTAAGTTCCTCTGTGGGGCATACCAGGAGAGGCGGTCCCGTAGGTACGAGGGTCCTAGGCCGTATAGGGCTTTGAAGGTTAAAACCAGCACCTTAAACCTGATCCTGTACTCCACCGGGAGCCAGTGCAGCTGGTATAGCACCGGATGAATGTGATCTCGCAGCGAAGACCCCGTAAGGAGTCTCGCTGCGGCATTCTGCACCCGCTGGAGTTTCTGGG